TTTGAATCAGGTTTTTAGAACTAAGGCAATCACTGGGCAGATTGGTTTTGTTCTGTTTCATTTTCTATGTTTTTCCTTATTCCTGGATTTCCCTGGATGTTTGGTTGTTTGTGCAGTACTTTGATTTGGAAGCTCCAAAAAAAAAGTCTGGGAGGCAGGAAGCAGCAGGGAAGCCAAGCTATAAACAGCCCATGTCAGTTGAAAAGTTGAGCTCATTAAGCAGGTCCTTGAAGTGAGGAGGAAGAGTCTAGACAGCTTGCTACAGTTTGCCCACATCATTTCACACTTGCTATCTTGTTTTTCTGGCTATGCTCTGCCTCTGTGCATAGTTTCCTTCTCTCAAAAAAATGTGTATACTACTTACATACATTTGTATATTTACTGTTATTAATTTCCTCATTTAGTCAGGGCTGATTCCTAAACCCCTCCTTTGATTCCTCAGAAAACTTGGAATGGAACCACCATTTGATTCATTCATCCTACTCCTTGGCATATGCTCAAAGTGCTTAAAATCAGCATACTATAGTGGCAAGGCCACATCAATATTTATAGAAACTCAATTCACAATAGCTAAGCCAGGTGCCCTTCTACAGACGAATGGATAAAGAAAATGTGGTATGTACGCAATGGAATATTACTCAACCATAAAGAAGAATGAAATTATGGCATTTGCTGAAAATGGATAGAACTGGAGGCTTTCATGCTAAGTGAAATAAGCCAATCCCGAAAAACCGAAGGCTGAATGTCCTCTCTGATAAACAGATGCTAACACACAGTGAGGAGGGAATAGAAGTTCATTGGAATAGACGAAAGGAAATGAAGGGAAGGGAGAGGGACATGAATAGGAAAAACTGTAGAAAGAACTGGACATAACTTTCTTATGTTCATATAAGTACATGACCAGTTTTACTACACATCATATACAGCCACAAGAATGGGAAGTTGTACTCCATGTATGTATAATATGTCAAAAGAACAAATAAAAAATAAACCCATCCTTTGAGCAGTGGAGTGTGCTAGGCTATAAGGGAACAAGGACAAAGAGATAGCACATTTACAGAAGTTACAATAGGGGTAGAAAATGTATACATACCAGAGTTTTCTCCAGGGTATAAATGAATAGTCCTGAAATAGTATAAAGCCACTGATTATTATATGGTGCATCCCTTCCAGCTAGGAAATTGAGGGACCTCCTGGAGGGATGGGTTTTGAGTGGATCTTGGAAGGCCAAATATGGTGTTGTGCTTCATGATCTCAAATGTATTTCTTTCTTTCTCTCATCCAAGAACTACAGGTCTTTAGCTTTTTCACTCATTACTTCCTTTCTGCCTTTAAGCAAATCCTAGAACTATTAATATGGAAAAGGGCCTGCAGGTTACTCTGCTTCCTTGCCTAAGTACTGTTGTTTCTACCTCTTCACTGTGATAAGACTTCTCACTGATCAATTCATCCTGTGTACCCTGACTTTCCTGTTTTACCTCCTGTGTCTGGTTTCACATTCTCAGTGAATTCACCTTCTGTACTTATGCAGTGATCAACTTCTGGCCCTTCTTTTACTTTTCTCTCTTCACAGCATGTCACGGTTGCATTGGACAGTTTCAGTCAGTCTCTTGTTGAAATTCTTTGTAGTCTTGGCTTCTGGAGCAACAATTTTGTTATTGTTCTCTTATTATTCTACTTGATCTTTTGCCATATTGTTGGTCAAAGTACTATTAAGCTATCTTTTCCAACCTACTCATTTCAGAGAAGGAAGTTCCTTTCTCCATTATGTCCTTCTCTCTTCTGTGTCCCTCTTTCCCTGTACCTTGTGGCATCTTCAGCCTTAGTCCTTAGCCAGCTACTCTTTGCTCACTCTTTTTAAATTGACATCTTATTAGCTCTTTGACTGAAGTACCCAGCAGATTCCAAGTACATCACACTTCACTGTTTTATCTTTTAGTTCTCCCCAGAAAGTTTGCAACCTGCCAACATTGGACTTACTTGCCTCTTTAGTATATAAATCATTGCATCTAACATGATTCCCTTAGATTACACGTCTAATTTCAGATTTTGAAGTCATCTTAATGTCTTGCTCTCTACATTTCCCAAACTGTTCCTAAATATCTGTTGGTTATTTTTCATGATAGTTCATAGATCTGCTTCTTCATCTCTTTAACTTTTTTTTTTTATGTCTTAAGTGTCCACAAGGCTCTTTAAAATGTCTCCCCTATTTGTTCTCACCGCTGCCTTCATTATCTTCTGTAATTATTACCAAAATGCCATTCCTTGCTTCAAACCATTGATTTCTTATTGCCTATTCTGTGGGTCTGCATGATTCTAATCTTTTTGGTCTTTTATCAGTTATACTTTGTTTTTACTGATACCTTTTTTCACCCCCAAAACAGACTCTCCCTTCAAGCCAAGTGAATTCATGTGTTATCCACAGATATCTTGCTCTCTGTGTGCTCCCATACTCTCCCACAGAGGATGGCTTATTCTTCTATTCCTGACATCTACTGTACCACTTCCCAAATGGACACTCTCACATTTCTCTTTCCCATCAGACCATGTTCTTTTCATGCATTCATTTTCCACAACTTTATTTAGTATGTGCTATGGCATTTTACAAGGCAGCAGGGCTACAAAAGCTTTATAGTCTGTGGGGACATAGGCAAATAAAATTCAGTGTAGTTAGAAAGCATTGGATGCCCTGGGAGTACATGTATGAGGGACATCATAGGAGAGGGAAGGAAAGGGTGTCACAGAGATGCTGTAGACACAGTGAGTCACCTGGACTATCTTAAATTGAGTCTTAAGTTCCATAGCTAAAGACGATAAAACCAGAACCCAGACTTCATCTGCCAAAAAGACATGTATTACTGACCTCACCCAACCTGGTACAGCCTCTAGTCTACATTTTTGGCAGTTATATACTCAGTGTAAACTCTTAAATTTGCTTTATATTTTGTATGGCTTTTGGGGAAAAAAATAATTTATTATTATACATGTTTTCAACTAGATTATAAMCTTCTAAGGCCTAGGGTCTTTTTCTCATTGCTAATGCAAAATGTACAATAAAAGTGAATCATTGGAGGACCAACATGGTAGCCAAGCATTCTTGGGCTTAGGGCTTTTTATGCCAATGCCTAAGCAAGCACTCTACCCCTTAGCCACAGCCCCAATCCAGGATAATTCATTCTTAAACTTTTTGGGGTCATGGCTCCACCTGACAACTCAATTATAAATCTATGGGAAAATGTATATAGGCAAACACAGAATTGTATATGCCATCTCAGGGCCCTTTGAGATTTCCCATCAGCCCTGGATGTCATTATTGGCTTCTTCTAACAAAGGCTGTATAAAACTATTGCCATTTTAAGCTAATTATGCTATCCAATATGATACTTAGTCCCTTTTGTCCCTGTTCTAGATTCCTTCTGGTACATATAGGAAACAATCCCAGGCTGTATTACATATCTGCTGTTAAAAATCATTATATTTTACTTCCCCTTCCTTCCTTCTGTGAAAATAGCAGAATCGTATGTATTTGTTGGAGAAGTACAAATAGATCAATTCTGCCCAAGCAGAAGAAAAGCTGCATTAGTATATATCTGGGCAAAGGGGAAATAGAAGATATTCACATGGTCATCTTCACCATAGGATTTTTTCTGATTACATATTAAATAAATATTTTTTAATGTTACGAAGTAGCTTATAACACGTTATTTATGGGCTCAATCCCCAGTACCAAAATAAAATAATAAAGCCCAGGTTATCTGTGCTTATATAAAATGCTAAAGGAAAATATCCCAAAAGGCATATATACTCAATAACAATCYGGATGATGGGACTTTCCCGGACTATTTGGAATGTTATTTCCTTATTGGAAAATGTATTAGGTGGCATAGACAGAGGAAGAATAAGACTTCTTCATAAACTGTGTTGTAGGTTTTTTTCTTCTATTCCTGTGAAGATTTTCAGTAGAAGTAAGGAAAAAATGTGTTACAAGATGAAAACGTTTATGAATTCGCCAACATCTCAATCTGTGTTTTTGGGTTTTGTTTCCAGTTGGAATCCTGATTTATTTAGAAAAGATAGTATTTTTTAAATGGTCTGAAAATAATCAAATTCAGATTGTACAGGGTGAAAATAAATCACAACATCATAAGAATCACATTGTCATGTGCCATAGGACTTCACAGTTTATGAGAAGATCAAGTGTGTTAGCTAAGGGAGGTGGGTCAAAACATAGTGGTATTACATAGGAAACCAAGCTTGGAGACTGGTGGAAGTCACAGGGCTAGTCATGAAATTGGGAGTAGACTTGGGTTTCTCTCTAATCCAGCATTCTCCCTGGCTCCTCTGCCAATAGAACTTAAGGTAAAGTACCTCGCCTCCTCAAGTCCCCACTCCATATTTCCATAGTGTAGGCTTACTTCCTGTACTTCACAGAGTTCTTTTTGAAAATCAAATTATATAATTCATTAGTTTCCAAAGTGTGATTACCAAGTCAGCAGCAGGAGCATCTCCTGGGGACTTGTTAGAAATGTAGATTCCCAGGCTCCACCTGAATCAGAAAGTCTAGGGGTGGGCCCAGCAATCCATGCTTGACAAACCCTTGGATGAGTGTGATGCACACTGAAGTTTGAGAACCACTGAAGTTACATGTAGATGGCATTTTGAAAATAATAAAGCATAATAGAAATACAAGATGAATTAATTGAGGTAAACGTACATATAGTGAAATAATGATCTTCAACGTACAATTCTCTAAATTTTGGTGTGATCACTACTCCAGTCAAGATGGAGAACTTGCTCCATAATGTCCCCATACCTCTTCCTGTCGGTCCCCATCTCCCTAAGCGACTGCTATTCCGTGACAGCCTTTTCATTATAGCTAGTACAAGTATTTGATGATGGGTTGAACAGAGAAAGACCAATGTCATATGGTCTTTTCCTCTGTTATTTGTAGATAATATTCCTTTTAAAATTACTAAGCATAGTTCTCGGTTGTTTTTCAGCCCATGGACCAAGCTTCCCTCAAAAACAGTGATGTGCTGGTTTTGACAGGACTTACCCAGATCCCCACTGCAAACCCCGATGGCATGGTGGGAGAGTTCTGCAGCAACCTGGGTATGGAGGACTCTCAGATTTGGCACTGGGTGATATGCCTTTGTTTTTTGGTAGCTTGCTTTGTAGTATTCTTTTCCCCTTTCTTTCCTAGTCACACACTCTGGTATCTCTTTTAAGGGCTCCCCCTTCTGCTTGCTTCCATCTTTCTTGCCCATCCTTCAGAGTGTACTGCTGTCAACAGGAGCAATTCTAACTTAGCTTAAATATGAAGGTAAGGTTAACAGTGGTTGTTAAAACAGTAAATTAGAGTCATTAGCACTTTATAGAACAAATATTCAATGTTTTCTCACAGATTTTTATTTAATCCCCTTGCTTTTTGGTGGGATTTGGTAGGGGAGTGTTTACAGGATTGCAGGTGTCAAAGAAATAAAGAATAACATCTTTGCTTTGCAAATTATAGCACAGAAAAGACCATTACACTTTGAATTCACAACAGTTATATAATGAACACGTGTCATTTTCCCATTAATATTTGGGGGTTTTGTGGGGGGAGGCTAAATTGAGAGGCTTACGGGGTGTTTTCTACCTGGAAGAAATTGATTTGTCTTTGTATGTAATTATCAACAAAATGTAGGAATCCTACCTTTGTTTTAGAAAAGTAGGTTGGTTACTGACAATTCAGGCTAATGTAACAAAGTATGATAGAATAGATGGCTTCAGTAGTATATATTACTTTCTCACAGTTCTTGAGTCTGGGAAATCTGAGATCCATGTGCTAGCTTTGCTGTTGTGGTGAAAGCCCTCTTCCCACTCACAGATGACCACCTTCTTGCTGTGTTCTCCACATGGAGAAGAGGGGAAATTCTGATCTTCCTTCCTCTTCTTACAAGGGGACAGATATTTTATCATGGGGCTCCACCCTCATAACCTCATCTAAATCTGATTACTTCCCAAACTCCCTGCTTCATACTTCGATCATATTGGAGATTAGGGCTACCATATGCACTTGGATGGAGGAGACACAACATTTTGTCAACAGTTATCAAGAAGAGTTGATGCGCTTAAACCATTTACCCCTAGCAATTTTAAGTGATATTACCTTTGCTGAAGGAAAAAGAAATGGTTATGTTCTCTGTTTACATGGAAAGCACTGTTCTTTGAAATTTTTACCCAGCCATGTTAATAATCATAGTCTGCTTTTGTTCTTTGCTCATATTAAACCAGATGTAACTTATTCTACTTTGCAAAATTATTGAAGTGATCTCAAAAACAGTCTTGGGTTTGTGTATTTGTTTATAATCATAGACTCAAAGCAATTTAGATTGGGTAAGGAAACATATCCAATCCACTGTCTCTCAAAGTGGGTCTGTTTAACCACCTGCCTCAAAAATCAGTGGCATCACTTATTAAAAATGCCAATTGGAGGACCTACCACAGATCTAGTAAATTGGTATCCCTGGGGAGAGGAGGACCCAGAAGGAAGTTGCATGTTCAGCATGTTTCCTTGGTAATTTTTCACAGACTAATGCCTGAAAGTCACTGATCTCATTCATTCCTCTCATAACTCATGAGAAAACTGAGGCCCAGCAAGGTTGTGGTGGCTAACCTGTGGTCCTAGAGCTTGGAGCAAACGTAGGACTAGAGCCATTGCTTTTGAGCCATGATGACTGAGATTGATTTCTTTCTTTCTTTTTTTTTTCTTTTACTTTTTTTCTTTTTGGTACTAGGGATTGAACTCAGGAACACTAAACCACTGAGCCATAGCCCCAACCCCATTTTTAGTTGTACACAATACCTTTATTTTGTTTATTTATTTTTATGTGGTGCTGAGGATCAAACCCAGGGCTTCACACATGCTAAGCGAACGTTCTACCACTGAGCCACAACCCCAGCACCCCCAGCCCCATTTTGTAGTCTCACTGAGTTGCTTAGTGCCTTGTTAAGTTGCTGAGGATGGCTTTGAACTCACTATCCTCTTGTCTCAGCCTCCCCAGCTACTGGGATTACAGTGTGTGCCACCATGCACAGCTCTGATATTGACTCCCCCTCCCCCCATCATGTTGAACTCTAGTAGCAGGTCCCCACTTCTCACATCACAGCATCCAAGTAAACTGTACATCAGAGTGGGAACGGAGAAGGACACGTGGCATTAGGACTTCAGGTTCTGAAGCTAGGCATGGTRGAGCACACCTGTAATCCCAACTGCTCAAGAGGCCCAAGGAAGGACAATAGTGATCAGTTCAAGGCCAGCCTGAGTAGCATAGCAAAACCATGAGGTTCTACACCTCAAAATCATATCAGTTTGTTTTGAAAACTAATGAGAAAAACAAACTCAAGTATGCACTTTGTGTTTTTCAACTAATCGTACTTGAATATAATTATAACCCATACATTGGTAACTTAAAATGTGAGGAATTTTTCTTACAGACATTAATGAAAGAAAACCCCACTGAGTAAAACAAAAACTTGGCCTGTTTCCTTATAGGTCATTCAACTGTGGTCAGAGACCTACCAGAGACTAATCTAGCAAATGTTTTAGGCAGGATCTAAAAAAAGAAGGAACTTGAAGGTTCTTTTCTGCAGTGCAGCTGCCTTGGAACTTTTAAATCCCAAATCCTTGATTGTGTACTTTATTCTCATGGACCTAAATTAGACAGTAATGGAAAAAATCTGCTCTTAGCCTCTAGATTCCCCCACTTGGGTGCTGTTCTTCATAAGAAGCAGACTTATTATACATATGAGTGAGTTATAGTCACAGAAGTAGGAAAACAAATGCAAATTATTTTTCTAAGTTAGATTCTAACTTTAAAACACATCCTTTTGGTAATGTTTTCACCCTCTGGCTTCAACTTTTCTAGCTCTCACAGTTCGAAATGGAGGAAATGTGTTGGTCCCCTGTTACCCTTCTGGAGTGATCTACGACCTCCTGGAATGCCTGTATCAGTACATTGACTCAGCCGGCCTCTCCAACATCCCCTTCTACTTCATCTCCCCGGTGGCGAACAGTTCACTTGAATTTTCCCAGATTTTTGCTGAGTGGTATGTCAGCATCTGAGTTCTATTTGATTCAGTACGTTCAAGCAGTAAGAGTGATAATAATGTTATTTTTTCTCACATTGTTATGAAATTTTCATTTTGTTGTTTGTATGTGTCTGTGATGAGAACATTGTATTACTGAAAGTTAAATCTGTTACACTGCTGGAGTTTAGAAGAATAATTACCAAAGAGGGAAGGATGCAAGAGGATTAAGCCTCTACTTCAAAGTCAGTACCACCCAGGTGTTGGGGCACATGCCTGTGATCCCAAGGTCAAGGCCAGCCTGGGCAATTTAGCAAGACCCTATCTCAAACTGGAAAAAAAAAAAAAAATGACTGGGATGTCATCAGTGGTAAAGCTAACATCACCCAAAAGAAAGTCAATAGCAAAAACATTTTCTACTTCTGCGTGTTTCCCTGTCTGCTACAAAGTGAAGTTCCATTCTAAATCTTTTTTAAAAATTTCAAGCCCAAGCTCATGTTACCAAATCTGATAAAATTTTTTTTTTTTTAATTTCAATAACCCATGTGACAAAACCATGTTTTACTACAGCAGAAAATTATTTGATCATATCCTCAGGTAGGTTAAATTATTCAACAATATGAAATCATTGAGCCTTTTTAAGACTGTTTAGACACATGTTTGGACCTTAACTCCCATGGACCAAAAAAAAAAAGAGGGAGAGGAAAATAGATTTAATTTAATTTTRCAGAACATCATTTCCAAAAGTTCAGGAGCCATGAGAAGATACATAATGTAGAATATGTTTAATCCTTTTTTAAATAGTGGAGTAACCAAATGAACAAGGCTTTTTAAGCTTCTCATTAAAAAAGGAATTTGTACGTGATTTTTCCTCCCACCCCTGTGTTTTAAAGTCCATTCTTTTTTCATAGTCTGTCTTCTGTATCTAAACTCTGCCTTCTCTGTCCGTGTGCACACTGCCCATCTTTGTTCACACATCTGTTGCTGCTTGTTGGCACTCACTGAATTTTATCCTTTGTGCATAGGGTACCCTCTACAGAGGAAGTAATCTTGAATAATTAGTAATCTGCCCTGAGTGTCACTCACAATTTAACAAGCATGTTAAGAATTTCTTCATCTGTATCCTTAGTAAGGATATCACTAAAACACTCCTGGGCCAGCCCTGTGGAACCCTGTAGATGGTATCTTCACTGGGGCTTCAAGTCCAGCCTTTGCCCAACACATGTGGTTCATGTTATTGGAATATTTTACTGGATTAAGGTCAGGACTTGCCAAGATAAGAATACTGTAGGATGTTTTTCTGTTTCTAGTTTTTTGGGTTTTTTTGGTTTTTTTTAGATATTTGTTAGTTTCTTATATGTGTAATACATGTTTACTATAGAAAAAAAAATGAAAGGTACAGAAAACAAAAAAAAATTAACCCATAATATTGCTATCCAGAAATAATTTATCACTGTTGACATTCTGTTGTTACAACTTTCTTCATAGAGATCATGCTGTATATCTAATTGTGACTCCTGTTTTTTAAAAAATCAATTAAATCAAAGCATTATAAAATATTAGAAGACTTTTTTTTCCTTAACCAATAATGTTCTGAACCCAGGGGCACTTAACCACTGAGCCATATCTGTCCCTAGCCCCCTCTCCTTTAAAAAAAAGAAAAAAATTATTTGAGACAGGATCTCACTAAGTTSCTGAGGCTGTCTTTGAACTTGCCATCCTTCTACCTCAGCCTCCTGAGCTGCTGGGATTATAGGTGTGTGCTACGATTCCCCACAAGAACACAATTTTTACATGACTGAAGTATGATATAATTTTTATGTCATTTGTGAATGTATAATTTAGTTTACTATTTTTTTATTGAATGCAAGGGCTTTTCTTGTTTCTTTGCTTTTAGTAATGTTCAATTAATATTCTGAGTGTATGTGAGGACATCTGGTTTGTTTGAGGTAAATGACTAAAAGTGGAATTACTGGAACAAAGGATATAAATATTTTTTAATGTTCATTATCTGAATCTAAATTGCTTTCCAGAAAGTTTTCTATGTAAATTATTCCCCTTTTTTCCCCCCATTACTTCTTAGAGGTTTTTTACTTCACTTATATGTTTGAACTCTTTATGTGTATACCGAAGATATTAACTTTTTTTTATAATTTTTTTTCCCATTTTGACACTTCATTTTTAATTTTACCTGATTTTTTTCCTGTTTTTTTAAAGTCAGTACTTTGGAATAATTTTAGACTTAAAGAAGAGTATAAAAATAATGCAGAGTTCCCATATGCCTTTCACTCATTTTCTTGTATTGTCAGTGGCTCACAAGGTCATACACATTAGCACATCATTAATTAGACTCCCATCTTTGTTCTGATTGCATCAGATTTTCCACTAATAACCTCTTTGCTTCAGGATTCATCCAGGGTGTCATAGTGCATTTAGGCCTTTGGATTGTTTTTTGGGTTTTTTGACAGAATTTTCTTTTTTAGTTTTAGTCTCTTTTGCTCTGTCTTCTTTTGGTGTTATATTTTAAAAATTCTTTCCCCTATTGATGTCACATGGCTGAACATACTTTCTTTCGGTTTTATTACGATTTATTTTCTTCTTTTTTGCTCCCCCCTTAACTATTTTATCTTGAATTTGTTTAGCTTGAGAGGAACATGAAGTTTATTTTTTTCCCCAAAGTAGTCAACTAATTACATGCGCTAGTAGTATTTATTAAATAATAATAATTAATAATAATAGTTTTTTTTCAAATAACTTTCTTTATTATAAATAGTGATACTAAGTGGAGGAATGAGGTTTGATCCCAGGAAATTTTGATCTATAGATTCTATTTTTTTTAATTTTTCATTCTAATTTGTTATATATATGACAGCAGAATGCATTACAATTCATATTACATATATGGAGCACAATCTCTGCTTATATACAAAGTATATTCACACCATTCGTGTCTTCTTCATACATATACTTAGGATAGTGATACCCATCTCACTCCACCATCTTTTTTTTTTAACCCCCTTTTCCTCTCCCTCTCCCTCCCCTTTGCCCTATATAGAGTTTGTCTAATCTTCCCATGCTCCCCCTCCCAACCCCACTATGAATCAGCCTCCTTATATCAGAGAAAACACTTGGTATTTGGTATGGGGGGATTAGCTAACTTCACTTAGCATTATATTCTCCAGCTCCATYCATTTACCTGTAAATGCCATGATTTTGTTCTGTTTTATTTCAGAGTAATATTCCATTGTGTATATATACCACATTTTCTAAACAGGTCGGACAGAAAGGAAGAATAGGTTCATAAAGCAAGGATGGTTAGTTTGGTCTTGCCCCTTGAGGCATTTGTAGTACATATATAAATGTGAAGTATTACCAGTCCAGGAATCCGAGAAGCCAGACTGTAGTTACAGGTTGGGATGTCCTTGATCATGGGGTTGTTGAAGCCACAAGAATGAATGGGACTGCCTGGGGAGAGGAGGGTCTCTCAGACTCCCAGTTAGAGGTGATCTGGAAGCATCATTTATTCTTGGTTTTTCTGATAACAGATCTTTTGAACTCCAGCAGATAGCCCCAGAAGAAGCAAATTGATTGGCTCTTTCAGCTTCTCTCTGAGAAGGGGTGTAGGTGTCCCTGTTGTGCCTACATGATGATAGGCATGACAGGTAGGGAAGCTGTTAGCAGAACTGGCCACAAATACTTTGATAGGTGGGTTTCAAATCTCCAATCAGATTGTAATCTCTTTTCCATTGTTAATCTCTCCTAATTGTTGCATAATATCTTTTTGAATCAAGCACTTATATTTATCTCTCTTCCTGCTTTGAAATAGAACTAGTATCTATTTAGATATTATAAGGTGCCTCTCAAAAATTACATTCCTTCTGTATTTTTGTCTGTTTCCCGAAAAAATTAAAAATAAAGTGATCTTTTTCAAATCAAGGTTAAAGGAAACTAATAGTAGGAAAAATTAGGGACTCTGTATGAAGTTAATAACAAAATCCAAGCGCTGAARTCCTGAACCATCACTTTCAGATTACTTTCCCTTGCATTCTTAGAGTGGGGTCTAACAAACATTTATCGTATATATGCTTGCCAGTTTTTAAAAGTATCAGACCTGCTCAACACTCCCTTTGATTTGTTAGTTGTAACTTTTGCCACATTTCCTTTATTCAGGCATATCTGTATGTTTAAAAGTCATATCTGACTAGGAAAAAGCTTTAAAAGATTGCCTGAAGCATCCAGTGTCTCCAGACTTAAGATCCCCTCCAGATAGTTAGCAGTGCTGCTATTAATGAAATAGTGCATGTGCAAAACAGCCATGTCTCAGAAAAAGATGACTTTCGCCTCAGAATTAATTGCAGCTAAATGCAGTATGGTATCTTGGACTGTATCCTGAAACAGAAAAAGGATGTGGGTTGAAAAATTGGTGAAATTCAAATAAAGTCTGGAGTTTGTTATTGTTTATTAGTAAGTTATCACATATCAATATTAATTCCTTAGTTTGATGAATGTGCTACCACTTTATAAGATGTTGACACTGGGGACCCAGGAACTCTGCTATCTTTTTTTAAAAAATATTTTTATATTTATTTTCTAGTTGTACACAATACCTTTATTTTGTTTGTTTATTTTTATGTGGTGCTGAGGATTGAACCCGAGGCCTCACACATCCTAGACGAGTGCTCTACCGCTGAGCCACAACCCCAGCCCCAGGAGCTCTGCTATCTTTGCTGTAAATCTAAAATTATTCCAGAATTAATTTATATATTTTAATAAAGAATTTATTCTGGATTATTTTTCTTTTTTTGATTTTTTTTCATTTTATTCTAACTAGTTACGTATAACAACAGAATGCAGTTCAATTCATATTATACAAATAGAGCACAATTTTTCATGTCTCTGATTGAACACAAAGTACAGTCACACCATTTGTGTTTGCATACATGTACATAGGGTAATGATGTCCTTCTTGTTCCACCATCTTTCCTACCCCATATCCCCTCCCTATCCCTCCTTACTACTCCTTCCCCTTTGCCCTATCTAAAGTTCATCTAATCCTTTCATGCCCCTCCATCCCCATTATGAATCAGCATCCTTATATCAGAGAAGACACTCAGCATTTGKTTTTTTGGGATTAGCCAACTTCACTTAGCATTATATTCTCCACCTCCATCCATTTACCTGCAAATGCCATGATTTTATTCTCTTTTAATGCTGAGTAATATTCCATTGTGTATATATACCACATTTTCTTTGTCCATTCATCTTCTGAAGGGTATCTAGTTGGATCTACAATATAGCTATTGTGAATTATGCTGCTATAAATATTGATGTGGCTGTGTCCCTGTAGTATGCTGTTTTTAAGTCCTTTGGGTATAAACCGAGGAGTGGGATAGCTGGGTCAAATGGTGGTTCCATTCCAAGTTTTCCAAGGAACCTCCACACTGCTTTCCAGATTGGTTGCACCAGTTTGCAGTCCCCCAGCAATGTATGAGTGTGCCCTTTTCCCCACATCCTTGCCAACACTTACTGTTGTTTGTATTCTTAATAGCTGCCATTCTTATTCAGGAATTTTAATGATTTAAAAATACATTTGCTCACAAGAGACATCTGTCCTGAATGCTTTTTAGGCATTGACTTTTATTTTACTCACAGAGAAATTTGCTTTCACAAAATCTTAAACTGTGATGTTTAATATTTGTGCTACTGCCACTAGGTGGCAACAAATGCCACAATGTGCATTTTCTAACATGGATCTTTTTTCCTCTTTTTAAAAGGCTTTGTCACAACAAACAGAGTAAGGTGTATCTCCCAGAACCACCTTTTCCTCATGCAGAGGTAAGAAAACAGAATTCTCAGGTCAGCATAAGAAAGAAATGTAGATGACTCACTGGGGATAGCAGATCATTAGATAAAAAATATTGTTGGGGCTGGGGTTATGGCTCAGTGGTAGAACACTTGCATAGCATATGTGAAGCACTAGGTTCAGTTCTCAGCAACACGTATAGATAAGTAAATAAAAATAAAGATTCATCCACAACTTAAAAATATACATTAAAAAAAGTATCCTTATGTGAATTGATACATCCTTTAACTTCCCAAGTGAGATGATAGTGAATTACTCTTATAGTTCATTTGTATTTCCTCTTATTAACACATTATATTACTACCCTGTTATACTGTTCACAGCCTGTCTCTATTCTGTTGTCTGTGAAAGGGATTTTACTCTAATATCTACCACTAAACTTTTTTGGGTAACAGATTTATTCATTGTCAAATGTTCTTTCCAGTTAAGGCCATCATATGTGTAAATTTTAATGATGACAATTACATTTCACTTTAAAAAATAGAAAAATTCCCCTCCTTCAAAGAACTAATGAATGATTTTTAATTCCTTTTTCTTTTTCTTTTTTTTTTTTAGTTGTAGATGTGCACAATACCTTTATTTTATTTGTTTTTATTTTTTATGTAGTGCTAGGGATCAAACCCAGTGCCTCACGMATGCTAAGTAAGTGCTCTACCACTGAGCCACAACCCCGGCCCCTAATAAGTGTTTTTATTTAGCTGAATACTTAGTTTTCTTTCACCAGATGGTATATCCTGGATGTTTTTCTGTGCTGCATAATATTCTGTAGCATATTACAAACATATTAAGTAAATTTAACGATTCTCCTGTTGGACAATCGAGTTACTTCCTATTTTTTATTATATTTTAATTAAAAGGATGTTTAAATTGGTATAACCACTTCAGAAGAATATACCAAACAAAGTTACATAGGGCTGGATGCAGTATCACATAGCTGTAATCCCAGAGGCTCAGGAGGCTGAGACAGGAGGATGGTAAGTTCAAAGCCAGCCACAGCAGCAGCTAGGCGCTAAGCAACTTAGTGAGACCCTGTCTCTAAATCAAATACAAAATAAGGCTGGGAATGTGGCTTGGTGGTCGAGTGCCCCTGAGTTAATCCCCAGTACCAAAAAAAAAAAAAAAAAAAGTAATTATTACATAGGTATATTACTGAAAGATACACAAGAACTCTTCAAAAGATACACAAAGAAATCTTCATAGATTTCTTGGTGAGAGTATTGATAGATAGATAGATAGACAGACAGACAGACAGACAGACAGACATATACACCCAGTTGCCCATCAAGAGAATGGATTTTGTGGTATGTTCACATAGTAGAGTACTGTACATAGTCAGAATGAATGAACTCCAGCTGCATGTAAGAGTGCAGCTGAACTTCAAAAACATAATGTAAGTGAAAGCCAGACATAAAACAGTAGATATTGTGTTATTTTATTTATTTAAAAGTTCAAAATCATGACAAATTAATCTGTAGTAGTAGAAGCCAGGCTAGTTGTTATCCTGGAGATGGGTGGGATAGTATTGACTGGAAGGAGACAGGGATTTTTCAGAAAGCTGGTAATGCTTTATTTCTTCACGTGGATATGGGCTCATGTATGTGTTCAGTTTGTTTTGTTTTTTAAAAAAGGGCGGTGGGGCTGGGATTGTGGCTCAATGGCAGAGCACTTGCCTAGCATATGTGAGGCACTGAGTTAAATCCTCAGCACCACATGTAAATAAATAAAAAATAAATGTACATCAAAACTAAAAAAAAAATTAAGAAAAGGCTATAATTAATCCTGTGGTGTTGGGTTGAATCGGTTTCATTTTCAGTGTGGGTAGAGCATCTGTATCTGTTTTTTAAGGGAGTTGTTTTGTTCTGCAGTTAGCTATTTAACACAGTAAATTACAACAAACTTTCTGATTCAGTTGAAGTACTATTTTCCTACTGTGAAATTGGTCTTTTATGAGCCAGGATGCCAAGTGGAAGATTTTTTTTTAAGTTATTTTTTGGTCTTCATCTAACATTACAGCAGCCAGTTTTTTTTATAAAAACTCTTGTTATTGCCACAGTGAAAAATCAGGCTAGATATATAATATTAGAAAGTCTGTTGTGGTAAAACACGTTTTGTTGTGGACTTTGCCATTGGAGAGTCTCTTTTCTTTTCTTCTCTCCTAAAGCAGTTAGGCTTTCTTTAAAACTTGTTTTCTAAGCTGGTTACATTTTGACCTGCACATAGTTCATGGGTAACCCCATGCCTTTTACTGTTTAGAACGTGAATAGACTATAGGGTTCTGAGGTGCACTTGCTACTGGGGAAGGAGGGAGTTGACCCTTGCTATTGTTACTAGTGCCCATGATAAAATATGGTTCTGCCCTTAGTACTGACAACAAATTACTGTACAGAATACCTGCACTATGGCTTCATTTGCACTGCTTAAATATAAAGTGAGGTGGGAAGGTGGATCCAGTTGGCAAAATACAGTAAGTTTATCATAGTTTCTATGCCTTGACCAATAGATCTCTAGATAATGCTTGTATTAATGAAGGTGTCACTTAAGTGTGCAAAGGCCTGCCACTATTCATTTAACTGTGGCAACTAATTATTTTGGCCATAGAGGTTACAAAAAGAATGTCAGTTTTATTTGTATAAAACTTGCAAGGAAAGTGGGAATTCAGTATTCTCCGTCTTTACTGTTCTTATCCTGTCTAGCATGTGACAGCAGGTTAATATCTCCAGGGTTGTACTGYAGTCTTCCTAATAAAACCAGAAAGACCTGATAAGGGACTAAATCTTCAAAGAGAAGAGAGCCTGGTTTCTGCTTCAGGGGTGTCCCAGTATGACCACTTCTCACTTCTGGGGGTGACTTCATTTGGACTTGAAGTTGTTGACTGGGTCCCCACCCCCCATGGTTATGGGTGCTACTGGATTGAGCCGTATCACAGACCATTTATTTATCTGTTAAACAGCAGCTCAGGAAACACTCCTGTTGGCCTAGTTGATATGAAAGGTCTGTGGAGTCTGCATGGTTCTTATCTGACCTTTTGATGCTAGAGTGGTAGGGTGGGGTAGGGTTTAGGCACAGGAGGCATTTTTGAGCCTTGTCACAAGAAGCTCTCTAAGGTTCTACTGTGAGATGTTCCCTTACAATGGGCCTGATGTTGGGAGAGAATTGTCAAGCATTTTGCTGCTGGGGAGATTCTTGGTTCAAGATATATACTTTAGAGACAGGTATGAGGCTGGGTATGGATGGCTTCTTACTATAGCCCTGCATCTCCCAAATTTCTGAGAGTCACTTTAGTGGCTACAGTAACTCAACACAATAACTCTCAGGTGGGGGAGATCCTGTACAGATCTTGTGGGAGGGATGTGTTTATTGTCACCCGAACTTGGTGCATCACACAGGTTGGGAAAGTTACTTGTATTTCAAATAGGAACTGATTTTGAGGACTCTACCATGCCTGGAGTATGGAAGCTATAAAGAAAGACAAACTCAGTCCATAACAACCTGATTAAAAGTTTCAAGTATGGTCATATTACCAAAAGGATTTGGCTTTCCCATGTGTTCTGAAAATCACATTGTAGTTAAGAACTTTTGATCTTTGGCTAATTTTAATGACATCCTTTGTGCATATGGTTCCCAACTTACGAAAAACTTTTGACTTTACAATAGGGATACACAAGCAGTATGCATTGGGTAGAGCCACACTTTGAATTTGGATCTTTCCCTGCACTTCCAATATGCACCTCGCTTGAGACGCTGGGCAGCTGCAGCAAGCTGTGGCTCTGATACCCCATGACTGCAAGCGAAGACGACCAACACTGAGTGCAGTACATGGTGTTGCCAAATCGTGGGGTGTGGTGAGCAGGGTGGATTAAACACCTTCTCCGCATACAATATATTCAACTTAAGATGAGTGTATCAGAATGTCTCCCCATTGTAAGTTGAGGAGCATCTGTATCTGTTTTTTAATCTAATTTTTTAGAATGGTTTCAGGTTTACCATAAATCAGAAAGGACACAGTGTTTCCATATATTCCCTGCTCCAAATATGCACAGCCTCCCCTGCTGTCAGCAGCCCACACCAGAGTGGTGTATTTATTACAGCTGACGAAGTCTCATTGGCACCTGTATCACCCAGAGTCCCTTAGAGTTCACTCTCGATATACATGCTCTGGATTTGGACATTTATCTACAGTTATAGAATCATACAGAATAGTTTCATTGCTGTAAAATTCTGTGCTCCAACTCTTCATCTGTCCCTCCCCCAAACCCCTGGCAACCACTGATGTTTTTACTGTCTCCATTGATTTGTCCTTGCTGTCCTTGCAAGAATGTCCTATAGCTGGCTGGGCATGGTGACCCACACCTGTAATCCCAGCTACTTAGGGCGCTGAGGCAGAAGCATTACAAATTGAGGTCAGCCTAGGCAACTTAGTAAGAAAACCCTGTCTCAAAATAAAAATTGACTGGGGATGTGGCTCAGTGGTGAGCACTCCAGGGTTTGATCCCCAGTACCAAAAAAAAAAAAAAAAAAAAAAAAGTCATTATGATTGAAACAGTATACAGCCTTTTCAGGTCATCTTTCACTTAGTAATAGGTTCTTCCATGTCTTTGCCTAACCTGATAGTGTGCATTTTTTTTTTAGCACTGAATATTCTGTTGTCTTGATGTACCACAGTTTACCTATTGAAGGACATCTTAGTCGTTTACAAATTTTAGCAATTATGAATAAAGCTGCTATACATATATGTGCAGGTATTTTAGGGACATTAAGTTTTCAACTCTAGGGAAAATACCAAAGATTGATATTTGATTGCTGGGTCCTACAATAACTGTGTTTTTAACTTTTGTTTAAAAAAAAAAAAAAAAAAAGAACTGCCAAATTAAAAAAAAAAAAAAAAAAAAACAACTGCCAAAATCTTCCAAAGTGGCTGTAGTCATTTGTATCCTGTCAGCAGTGAATGAGCCTTTTCATTGCCTCACATCTTCCCCAACTTCTAGTGTTAGTGTTCAGATTTCAGCCTTTCTAATCCCTAGTGGCATGTTACCATTGAGCCACATTCCCAGCCCTTTTTAAATTTTTTTCTTTTGAGACAGGGCCTTACCAAGTTGCTGAGGGCATTGCTGAATGCTGAGGCTGGTCTTGAACTCACGATCCTCCTGCCTTAGCCTCCTGAGTTGTTGAGATTATAGGCGTGTACCACCTTGCCTGGCTTTTGTTTGTATTTTTTAAGTTATTTCTGCACATTCTCCCATACTTTGGTCTCCACTCAACCCACACAAGCTAACAGCTCTTTGTATGTTTTTAATATGTATTCTAGCTCATTCAGACCAATAAGCTGAAGCACTACCCCAGCATCCATGGAGACTTCAGCAACGACTTCAGACAGCCTTGTGTGGTGTTTACTGGACACCCTTCCCTCCGATTTGGGGACGTGGTCCACTTCATGGAGCTCTGGGGAAAATCCAGTCTCAACACTGTCATATTTACAGGTAAATTTTAAACAACACCCTACCCTTTGTTCTGGGGTCATTAGTGGATGTTCCTGCAAGGTTGAGACCCAGGGAAGGATTTGACTCTAAGGCATAAATACAAACATTATGTACAAAAGAATTAAAAACCAGAAGCAAAGGAGGAAGAAAGAGTACAGCAGCATGAGCTGATAGGTAACTGTATTGAACACGATTTTCTATACTGGGGATCAAACTCAACACCTGTATATGTAGTCAGGTGCTATACCACTGAGGACATCCCCAGCTCTTGAACACAGTTTGTATATCTGCTCTTCTAAGATTTTTCCCTGAGATAGAATTCGGCTGAACTGCTTTTTGGTAGCACTTAGTAAGAACTGCAGCAATTCTAGTAACCAGTCTTTACCTTTTAGGAACTGTTTACTAGGACAGATCTTTGTCCTTCAACTGTACATTACTCTGGCTTTCACTTGTTCTGGAGACACACACTTTAGGGAAGACAACTTCTTTAGTAAGGTTGAGTAGGGGATTGGCTGAAGTCACTGTATGTCATTTAAGATCTTCAAACATCCTTGGGTTTTGGAAATCTTACAAAGTAAAATTTTACAAAGTAAAAAACTTTGGTCTAAAATCTTATTCCACTTGATRTAACCTCAGCTGAGCCACCTCTGAAGCCTAGCTTTCCTCTCAGGAAATGGGATTGCTAGTAGCCTCCTCTGTGGGTAATTAGGAAGTGATATAGGCAGGTCCTCTGCACAGCACCTACATGCAGCAGTTCTTGACAAAGTAGCCATCATCTTCCTCTTCTTGTGAATTCTGATTACTTTAAAACTTGTGTTTGGGGGTAGAGAGTCTAATTACCCCAGAAGCATTAGAGGCATGGACAATCAGTGGCCCCAACCAGAGCTACCAAGAACATGGCTATAGTCAAGCAAAGTTCTTGCCTTGTTGCAGAGAGGTAGAACTGCAGAGAGGTAGAACACACACCACAGGCACGCATGTGGTTAAAAAGAACTTGTAGGATCTGGGCTAGAGCTAGGTAATTTGAAGTTATTCATTGATGTTGAGYTTTTTCTGCATTAAGTGCTGTCAGGACCCAAATCTGCAGCTGGGCACCTTAGTGATTTTCTTCTCCAAGGCAAGAGGAATAGAGCCAGGATAGGTTGATGTTTGCTCAAGAAGTGGTTGGGAGAGTCTTGTTCTTTGTATGCGGCCCTGATTTTGGAGGGGTCTTGCTTAGTGGCCTTGTCTGATGATGTTGTTGTTTGAATTTATTTGTATCCAGCAGGACACTGTGGTTCAGWCATGGGTGCCAGGCCAGCCCCTGCTAACACCCTGGCTAAGCAGAAAGCACCTGGAAAGCTCCCAGCCTTCAAGGGCTGCTTTTCTCCTTTCTCAGAGCACCTTGGGCCAAAGGCAGGGGAATTCAACCATAAGACATAGATTTGCAATACCTGGAACTTGGCCACTGCCAGATTTTTGCTGAGAAGGTTGTCCAGGGAATGAATGTGTGGTAGGACTAAAGGTGTTTCTTCTGCTCCTTTTGATAAGTTGTGAATGACATGACAGTAGTTGATATTTTCAGGCACATTAACCCTTGTATGAACTTTTTACTTCAGCCAACCAAATGCAAAAGCAAAGATCATGACTGCTCTTTGTAAAGAGCATTAAACTTGTTTGTTGGGCTTCCGGAGCAATTGGGTCTTTTCTGAAGTTTGCTAAGTGTGAGAGGCTACCTTTTCACTTGGAATCTTTGCCTTGAGTGGCCTGTGCTTGCCTCATTTGGTGGGTTCTGAGAATTCTTTGAGAAATCTGACCCACTGGAGGTGGTAATCTAATGTTTGGAAGTTCGGTCAGTTGTCCTGAAGATTGGAGAAGTTAGTGTGCCAGGAGAGCACAAGCCCATGCTCTGTGAGAAGCAATGATCTCACTGGGAATCAAACTATCACTTAGCACATGAGCAGTGAGCCTGTTCTGTTGGCTCAAGCTAGGCAGCTCACTAGAGTGGAGTGAACAGTCCTTGCCAAGCAGACTGCAGTGGTCTCCAAAAAAAAAACTGTGATGTGACAAGAGTTGCTCACAGTCTCAAGAGCTGGGCTTCCTGGCAGAAGTGTGGCAGTCTCAGCAGAAGAGAGACTGAGCTCAGGGTCTGTTCAATGGCATTTAGGTGCCTTCTGTCTGTAGGTGGCCATGATGGTGATTTATCTTGGGCCTGGGTATTAACATTGAGCACCTGATGTGATGTGATTATGTGGTCTCCACCAGGCCTCTTTACTGTGAGGTTACTGTTTTTCTCTTTGTGTTTAATCAAAATCTTACAAAGGAAACTTAGAGAATTTCCAATATATCCTTTCTGCTTCAAATTTTATGAGTACTTTAGCATTTATCAATGATTCTGGTCTAAATAAGTTATTACTGCCATGACTGCCAAATTATTTTTTTTAATCATTTCTACTAGTTGGTGTTATGAAGAACTTTCTTTTATCTCCCATTTTTTTGTTGTTTTTTTGTTTATCCCCTTATCTCATCAACCTCACTGTGTTGAAAACTTTGAGCCCAGTCCCATGTCTCCCATTCTAAGTCCACCCCACAGAGTTTCTCCCCAGCCTTTCCCTTTGCTTATCTGGAATTCATTTTCCTCCCATAATCCACTCTATACTTCCTTGCTCACTCTTTCACACTGGCCCTCTGCTTGGCCCTGACCACACCCATCTCCACCTTGCTTGCCTGTTCCTCTTGTTGTCTACACATTAAAATCTCCTTTTTGAGGGTACACTTACCACACTCATGGTGGRATTGTTAGCTAGTATGACTAGTATGGAAATCAGCAACAGAGGTTGCTCAATATGAACAGCTGTACCACTCCTTGGTAATTATTCTGAGGAATTAAAGTTATCATATTGTGGTAATACATGCATACCCATGTTTATAGCAGCAGTTTACAATAGCCAAGTTATAGAACCAGCTTAGGTGTCCATCAACAGTTAAATGAATAAAGAAAATGTGTGTATACACGGTGGAGAGCATAAATAACAAAATTATGTCATTCGTAGGAAAATGGGTAGATGTGGAAAACTCCATGCTGAGATAAGCCAGCCTCGGAAAGTCAAGGGTCATATGCTTTCTATCATATGCAGAAGCTAGAGAGAAAAAAAGGAAAGACAATGGACCTCATGAAATAGAAATGAGACCATTAAAGAAAAAGTATCAGGGGAGTGGGTGTATCAGGAGGTAGGGGAATGATGTAGGCCAATACACGCTCCAAGCAGGTACCAGTACATCACAGTGAATTCCCTATTGTGTGTAGTCACAATGCACCAATACAATTATTAATTTTCTTTTTGTACTGTCCTTAGAACCAGACTTCTCATACCTGGAAGCACTGGCTCCCTACCAGCCCCTGGCCATGAAATGCATATACTGCCCCATTGATACACGACTAAATTTCATCCAAGTGTCGAAGCTGCTTAAAGAAGTGCAGGTAACAAAGAAAATTGTGCCAGCATTTTCACATGGTTGTGTCACCTCTGTGTAGCTTGCACATCCACATTGAGGGGTGGGGATACCTGCCTGCATGGGAGCCCCTGGCGGCCTTAGTCCTCACCTGTCTGCAGAGGGCTAGGATATTTGCTGGTTAACCTTTAGACTTACTAGTAATGATCTTCACATCCTAAAAGAAGTTGCTATGCTAAAGAACTCAAAAGTAGAAGGGAAAAAAAAAGCATGAACCACCAAATTAATTTTTTTTGGTGAGGGAAGGGGTTGCCAGGGATTGAATTCAGGGGCACTTGACCACTGAGCCACATCCCCAGCCCTATTTTCTATTTGATTTAGAGACAGGGTCTCATTAGTTGCTTAGTGACTCACTAAGTTGCTTAGTCTGGGTTTGAACTTGCAATCCTCCTGCTTCGGCCTCCTGAGATTACAGACATGCACTACCACCCCTGGCTACCAAATTACTTTTGATAAAGTATCTGCTTAAAAGCAAATTGTTATGCTAGGCATAGTGGCACATACGTGTAATCCCAGCTAGTCAGGGTCTTAGGAAGACCCTGTCTCAAAATAAATGTAAAAGGCTGGGCTGCAGATGAGCAGTAAAGTACTCACCTAGTATGTATGAGGAGACCCTGGGTTGGATCCCCAGTGCCACAGAAAGAGAAAAAAAACACAAGCAAATTGTTGCTGCCCCACTGCCAAAAGTCATTCTAGAAATATGTTCACTAAGTTTAAAATAAAAAATGAAATTAAAAAATAGAAATATATTCACTAAAAACAGTTTGTTTGAAATGTGTATTGGACCCTTGTTAATACCTGTTACCGTTCACAGAATTGGTTTTGTTTGGTATGGGTTTTGTTGTTTTCATTTTTTATTTTCTGTCCTAGAGAAGGGGAAGTTGGGGTGAAGGGGGAGCAGAGAGGCAAAGTCACTGCACTATGACAATAAGTCTTTTGGCAGTTGGGAGTGGGGTGCTTGATTAGAATTTCAGGGGAGACCACTGATGACAGGTGAGAGGAAGGCTTCTGATTTCCTCTTACTTCAGCATCTCCAGGAACGTAAATGAGGTGTCATGGGGCTACCTCTGGCCTTAGCTGCTCGGTTAGGGAAGTGGGATTAGCTGTTTCCTTTTCCAGGGTTAGATCAGAAGCACTCTTTCCTCCTCTTTATAGAATCTGTATCATCAGGATGGGTTTGAACTTGCAGTCCTCCTGCTTCTACCTTTACATAAAATGCTAGGGCAGGGTGACAAGAAACAGCTAAAGTGAAAAACCTCAGGCAAACAGGGGGAGTGGAATCTGGTGCTCACCAGTTGCTGGCCCTAAATGGAAAGAATATGGGTTTTTTCTAGGCATGATGAGAGAGCCCACTTTGGCTCGTGGAATGATTTGACACCCACTGTGTGCTCATCAACATGCTGGAAAGAATGGTTAAGAACTTGGTTTTTTCCTTTACATTAAATAACTTTAAATCCCAGTCCCTAAGCCCACTGTGTGCTCTTTATACTCCTCAGTCATATGCCAATATTGGAAACCAGAGGCCAGCTGGTCTCTATTTTAGAAGAAACAAACCTGGAAGAAGTCCTCAGGCTGTGACTGTGGAGTCAGGGCTGTGAGATCAAGTTACCTTCCAATTAGGAGGAAGAGCAAAGGACAGTTTGAGGGAGTATTTGCTCAAAAGAAAAAATGTTGTATTAAGTCCAAACCAGTTTAGCCTTTTGGAAATCCTTATTCCACACCCTTAAGAGGAAGCAGAGATAACACAGTGACCATTTGTTTACAGTTGTGATATTTGTCCAGACTAAACATTGGTTTGTTTTTCTCTCAAGATTTAAAATAAGACTTTTTTTTTTAATGTTTCATCTCTGATTCATCGTCTACACAGCTGAGCACATGATACCTTTTGACCTGCAGGGAGCATAAGAAACTCCAAACCCAGAACCAAACCAGCATGAAAAGAGCTTGTTAGTAGCTGACGTGTGGGAAGTGTTACAGGAGGAGCACGACCTCAAGGAGCTTAGCGACCAGTTGGTAGTAGACACATGGATGTCACCATGAAAGTTACTTAAATATAGTGAAAAAAATAATGCAAACTGAGGCATCAGTCCTTCACTCATAGGCACAACCAGCAACTCAGAGCTTTTCTCTGGAATGTTGATTCTGCTTTCCCCAAAACCCTCTCCTCTCTCTTCCTCCCATCAGTTAGTTGGGTTTGAGAAGATGAGAGTTCCATATGGCCTGAAAGCAGCAGGCCTGAGCATCCAGGAAGCTGGGCAAGGAATGGGCTCCTGAGTGGGTTGCTCTGTTCATAGCTGCCTCTGCTTTCCTGTTTTCTCCCTTGACCCTGTTCTACTGGTCCTCAGCCCCTGCATGTGGTCTGCCCTGAGCAGTACACCCAGCCACCCCCAGCCCAGTCACACAGGATGGACCTCATGATCGACTGCCAGCCCCCAGCCATGTCCTATCGTCGGGCTGACGTCCTCGCCCTGCCCTTCAAACGTCGATATGAAAAGATAGAAATCATGCCAGAGGTGAGCCATTCTTTTTCTCATGGTTAAATTCAGGTTTCCCACTTGAGTCTCTGAAATAATTGTCCCAGAGGTGGCTTTCTTTTGAGTTTGTGTCAAATATGAATGAACCAAAGAAAAGAAAAAAAGCCTCCTAAGCAACTGGGAAGAAAGGTGGGATCATCAGGGTCTCCTGTTAGTGCCRGGCAGTGCGCTCCCGCAGGCCTCGTCAGGGTCGGCCCTGGAGAGTGGGAACACTGGTACCTGCCCTGTCCTTAACTGCCTTATAGCTGTAGTTTTCCCCATCCTTTCTGAACTGCATTGAGTCAGGGACAAGTTTCACTGCTCTCAGAGATGGAGGCGATAAGAATGACCAGAAAAGCAGAGGTTTAAACTTATCACTTGTATCCATTTTAGTATAAAAATGATTGTCCTTCTCTATCAGAGTCTGGATATGTAGTTCTGTGAAATCTTGGCTTCTGCTTTAACAGCAAAAAGCATATTGTACACATGGAACAATCTGAATGTGTTGTGCTTCAGTGACTCGACTGAGAGGAAGGCAGCAGCAAAGGTGAATGACCCCTCCCAAAGTGACATCCAGGAGCATGGTTGGAGGCTGCTTCTGTCTTCCTTTTGCCTCTTAAGACAACTTGAATGGGTTTTAACAGATATTACAGGGGAATAGGCAAACTCATTGTTAAAAATCAGTGTACCCAAAAGTCTTTTGGGGTTTTGAGGTTCAGATACTGTATCCAGATTTTGGATGAGATCAAGGTCCTGAATGTTGTCTTTTTCCATGGCCTGACAAAGCTGGTGTAGATTCAGTCCTGGTACATGGATTTCTTTCCAGAATTAACCAGGGTGGTTTTCTTAATTAAGAACAATAGATTAAAGAGAACCAAGCCAGTTTTAATAATTAATTTAGATAAAATTGATTCAGCAACACAGAACTAGTTTTTAAATGCAAGCCATACGTTTTTTATGAAGATATAAGTAGACAGTCATCATGTTTAATAGCCACTGTTGCCTGCTGCAGCTCCTTGGGAGGGCATCCTCCCAGGGCAGAGCGGCCAGCAGTGTGTGTTTAGGCAGCTACAGTGAGTCCAGGCGTGGGGAAGGCAGGTGAGGACAATGCACCTGGCCGGCAAGGGGCCTTCTGACATGTAGGCCAGACCCATGTGCTGTCACACATGGTAAATCTTTGTCTTTGGAAAAGGGATTTAACTGCTGAAAATAATTTTTCAACAAAAGTTATTTGTAATAATATCTAGTGATCAAGCTTGGTGAAATATGGCACAAACTGAATTTTAATTTCAAAGCAATGAAATTCATCTTCTTATATTTGGTTATAAAAATTTTTTAAAGGRGAAATCAAAGACATGTTAAGCTATAAAGTTCTGGAAAGACACACAGATACATATACATATATATATATATACACACACACACACACACAGCTTCTCAAGCTGACTATTTGGAAGGTCTTTTGAATGTCTGTAGTCTAATAATTCTTTTTAAAGGAAAAATTTGTTTTAGTTGGAGCTTGTGAATTCAACAACTCAGACTTGTCTTGGCTAAGCAGTTTGTAAGTGTAGCTCATTCATGAGAGAGGTGCCACAGTGACTAGTTCATTGTCGTCGTGGGTGCCCCCATACCCCCACCACAGCTCTCCGGGTAACACATCAGTCCTTCAGTGCAGCCTCCACAGTTGTTCTTCTGAATACTTCAACTGGAACTTTAAGGTAATGGCTGATTGGTTTAGACTCCTAGTTGCCCAATCCATTAGGTTAATAGCATCTTCATTGGATTGGTTTTGTTTCAGTAATTTGGCTCTCATGATAAACTTTTTTTTTCACCACTAGGGGAGAATTGAAAGCAGGTTTCCCACTCTAAAAAGGAAATTTTGGTTTTGTTGTTAACATAGAAGTTGGGCTCATTATTCCCACTTCTAATTTTATAGTGATTTAATATATTTTAGCATTTTATTTTTCTCATCTTAAAATAAAAGACACTGGCCTGGGCACTTGGGATTATTTTTGTCTGACATTTGACAGTGGCTGGGGTTGAAGGCCTACATTTAGATTTCAATACTCTTGGCCGTCAGGCCTCAAACTTTCTGGTCTCAAGACTTCTTAAAACTTAGGATCCGTGGGAGCTTTTGTTTGTGAGGGTTAGAGCTATTGATATTTACTATATTACAAATTCAAACAAAGACACTTAAAATGTTTATCAGTTCATTTAAAAATAATGCAAACCCATGATATGTTAATGTTATTAAGAATAAGGACAAAAAAACAAGTCCCAACACTAGAAATAACGCTGTTGGATATCTGCTTGATATTCATGTGAGAACTGAGCGTGTGGTGGCATTGTGCCTCGGGGGCTTTTTCACCTGACCCTAAGTATGTGGTTAAGGTTATTCCAAAAGCTTCAGTTTTAAGGACTACATAGTGATCTGTCATAAATGTATCATATATTTAATTATTCATTTACTAGTGGGCATTTATTACATTTTTTGTTTCCCTATATTGTAAATACTTTAAATTTGTAATTCTTTTTCTTCCTCAAAAGTTATTTGGTCATTTTAGACTGCAATTCAAAGGAGAAAATAGTAATGATCTTCACTAGAGATTCAGCCTCTTGCGTGATTTGGTACCCTTTCCACCAGGCTGAGCCTTTGGGGTCATCATCTACCAGGAAGGTGGGGCCAAAACCCAGTGGCCTCCTCACTTCAGACCTTGGACACCTTCCCTTCTGATCAGGGAGCCCACCTAAAACCCCACATTTCCTTTCAGCTCGCGGATTCCCTGGTGCCCATGGAGATCAAACCCGGCATCTCCTTGGCAACTGTCTCAGCTGTGCTGCACACTAAAGATAACAAGCACGTGCTTCAGGTACCTCGGGCAGGTGGGGAGCTGGGTGGGGTCCCTGCAGAGACCCTCTCCTCAGGATGGTCTTGGCAGCTGAGCCAGCTCCCTAGGAAACATTTCCCAAAGTAGCAGAAACTGGAGACCAAGCTACTTAGTGCATATTTGAAGCAAAGATGGCACTTCTTTTTTTAATATTTACTTTTAGTTGTATTTTTTTATTATTTTTATGTGATGCTGAGGATGGAACCCAGGGTCTGGCACATGTGAGGCGAGAGCTCTACCGCTGAGCCACAACCCCAGCCCCAAAGGGTTCCTTTCTACTTATTTTACTGAACATGAGGCCACACATTGTCCTAAGTGGCAGGCACAGCTCTGGAAGCATCAGCATCACTCCCAAACTTCTGTGCATTCCCTGGAGGAGTGTTGGTTGAGCACCTCCCCTCTGCATGGCCAAGTGGGTGCGGAAGGGAGACCTGAGAAGTAGCAGAATGCAAGCACACCCCTCAGACTGTGAAGGCCCGAGGCCTGGCACAGGTTGGTGGCACTTGTCTCTTTAGAATTCCTTTCAGACTTCGAACTCTTACTTTTGTGCCCCTATATCGTGGGCTCCTTGCCACTTAAAATGTTGGCCACTGAGCTGTGTCCTTAACATACATTCTCCTTATTCATACCCCCAAAATCCCCTTAAAATTCTCATTTTATAGGCAGTTTATCTGACTGTTAGATTCTTGAACAAAAGTTTCTTCGGCTAGAAGACGACAAAGCTACATCAGACCCTCCAGCCAGTGTCCTTAACCACTATTAAATTGAATTGATGGGAAATTTAAAGAGAATTTTGTTAAAAAGCACCTAAGATGTTGATCCATGTAGATGGTTTTGCAGTGGCTCAAATGGAGCCCAGCTGATAGCCTGGACTTGGGTGCGTTTTCACACCACTGGTAACTGCAAGTCAGAGAGCCCCCACTACCTCTACATCAGAGGAGAGGCTTCTGCAGGACACAACAAAACAGATGTCTTAAGAGGAAGTGCTCAGTGAGCTCTGTGCTTTTTTCCTTGCCCTAGCCACCTCCCAGACCCACCCAGCCCACCAGTGGAAAAAAGAGAAAGCAGCGGGTGAGTGAGGACATTCYGGACTGCCAAGTGCTGAAGCCTCTGCTGAGCGGCTCCATCCCTGTGGAGCAGTTCGTGCAGACCCTGGAGAAGGTGAGCAAACACCAGACTGAGTGTGGGCCTGCTGTCTGTTGCTCATGGTCATTCCCTAGCTCCAAGGAACTTGTGTTGCCATTTTCACTGAGATCCCACTGTCCAAAAGCTGTTGTCCTCTAATGTCTCTCTGGTCCAAGGTCAGTCAGGACAGAATCAGCAAAAGGTTTACAGAGTTGAGCCAAGAGAATGCCTTCCTTCTCCAGGTAGCCCTGAACTGTTTCTCACCACCAATCCTGTCCTTCCATCCACTACTGCTAGGTAGCTAGCAAAATGCCTCTCCATACCCACTTGCTGTAAAACAGGAAGACTGAGAAACAGCCCATCTTCAAAAACAGGTGAGGCAGGCTAGGGAAGGCTAGGATACACGAGGGTCTATCCGTGCTGGAGCCACACTTTTCCACAGAAAGGCCACTGGCTGTCTAAGTAGATCTAGGTCTCTATTCAATTGAGAGGATTTGGTGTGTCATGGGAGGGGATCAATGATGCTAGGTCCCTGGGAATTGGAAAACGGGTCCAGCAGATAGGGTCAGTCATCTGGGAGCACACTTGTCCTGTCTTTCTGTCTCAGCAGACATCTCTACCCACTGGGCCCCCATGGCTGCTTCTCCCAAAAAAGAGATTTCTTATAACCTGAAAGTTCTCTAATTTTAGCTTCAGCCTCAGGACTTTATAAATTCTAATGCCAACAGTGATTGCTAGAGTGCTTACGAGGAAGGGGGGGGGATTGCTTCAAGATGGTGCTGTTGCACGCCTCTTATGAGAACTGTGGTTAACTCTGGTGACTCCTAGAAAGACAAGTCCCCTGCTAAACTATTAATAATCATCTTTGGTTCAAACTAAGTATCTCRATTGCTAACTTCTCTAGCCTTAAAAAATAAAGGCTTCCTCTTGAGTAGGTTTCAGCTTTCAATGTTCTGAACCAGCTCTCCTCAACCCTCTTACATGTGCTTAAGTGATCATATTGGCTCCACCTTCCACATTACATTACAGGGCTCCTGGTCCCTGGTCATGGGCCTGAAGTTTGACTTCTTTTTGAAACACTTGGGAATGACTTGCTTTCCCTGCCTGGCTTATCCACAGACCAACTGTGGGTCCCTGCTGAGTGTTCCCTTGGGCCTGTCTGCCTTACCTCGTAATTGCAAGAGAAATCTCAGTACCTGTCCAAACCCATGCCAGAGCTCAGTGCACAAAATAGTCTCCCCCTAGTAGTGCTCTTCACTTCTTTTTCTAATTTATACCTGATTTGTAAGAAAACTCCATACTTAGCATTAGAGACAGCTGGAAAGATGATTGTCCTGCTGCCTATCTCCTTCCCCCTTGAAAGGGATTTGCCAAATCCCAAGGTCACTGGTACATGCTGTGATGAAGAGCATTTTCTGGGAGCTCACAACAGCTGAAACTTACCATGTGGCCTCTTTGGCGGGCGGGGGGGGCACGCAGGTGCAGAGGCCCAGAATCACCTGGCATCCCAGACTCCTGAACACGGGGCCCTGGATGTGCTCAAGTCACTTACAAAAACCTGAATGGGTTTAACTGGGATGACAAAATGGGTTGTGGAAATTGTCATGTTTTCATGAGATTTTGCATGTCAGGGCCTCTTATAAAGTATATGAAACTATGGTAGGATTCTGTTGCTGTGGTCAGCCCTGTTAATCAAAAGAGTTGTACTGAGGAATATCAAAATGCCTCTTCCTAGAGTTTAGTCAGGCCTAGGAAGTGTCATTTTTAGATCCTGCAGTTTCAAAATATCATCTTCCTTTTCAGTCAGCCCTTACTTTTCAGAGTTCCACCCTCCTCTCCTTTTCTTTCTCCCTGTACAGCATGGCTTCAGTGATATTAAGGTGGAAGACACAGCCAAGGGCCATATTGTTCTGCTCCAGGAAGCTGAGACACTCATTCAAATTGAAGAAGATTCAACTCATATCATTTGTGACAATGACGAGATGCTGAGGGTTCGACTACGGGATCTTGTCCTCAAATTCTTACAGAAGTTCTGAATGGGACATAAGAGCCATTTTCACTCCTGGGATCCTACAGTCCTTCATCATGGCTCCCAGCACTGGCCATCTGAGGAAGGGCAGGAAAGGCCTTTAAGTGTGTCTGGAATCCTCTGGCTTCAGGAATCAAGAGATGGCGCTGGAGGGAAATGAGCTGAAGCTGTGACCAGGATCTTCTAGTCCAGGCAAGAACATCCCCTTTGAACTTTAGAATCATTTTCAACTCTGGTTTTTGAGTAGCTGAGGGGTGACAGAAGCCCTTTCCAAGAGGCTCACAGTGGATAGGGAAGTAAAGGGTGACTGGCTTGTTGTCTCATATGGCCCATGTTTGTTTTTCATGATTCACTGGCTCGGGGCAGGGGAACTAGTGTTTGATTTTATTTACCTGCCTTTAGTGCTGCAAGTAATAAGATGATCCCCCAAAATAAGCCGTCTATCCTTACACAGAATGGCCCATCTTTGTAAATAAAATGTATTTTTATAGAAGTATCTGCATTCTGTTGAACCTACAATTTAAACAATGATTTAGTGGGGGTGGGGGGCAGCGTAAACTAAGAAAATGCCATCGCAAATTTTAGTTTGTGTACATTTGATCATACAACCCAGCATTGTTTACAAAAAAACATTTCTTAAGCTTAAATACCTTTTAATATAATTTACCTAGGCCTGTATGCATGAAAAACACCGACAGAGCCATGATACCAGCCTTGACTTTCCAGGGAGGCCCTAGCAAGTAGTCATATATTGCATAACACCGATGGGTGTATTGTAAGATCATACTACCTGGTGACACTGTAGACTTCTTTATATTAAGCATGATGTTCACCAAGTGACAGAACTGCCTTTCCTGCGGATCCTCAGGGTCTACTCAGATGCCCACAGCCACACAGTGAGGTCCACGTAGTGAGCCACATAGAAAGAATGAGGTCTTAGAGAAAAGTAACCTCTACTGCATTTGAAATAATGCTGGGTATCAATAGTTTAAAGCCAGTTTTTACCAGATCACATCTAATCCCAGTGTAGACTGGAACCCACACTCCAGCTATCTATGTCCCTTGTGGGCCAGGGGAGCACAAGCCTGTGGTGAGCCCAGTCACTGCTCTCAGAGTCTGACTGAAAGCCAGTCAGTCATCCCTCCAGTTCTAACAGCTGAGTTTCACAACAGGAAAATAACGCAGGAACTATTAAAAAAAAAAAAAAAAAAAAAAAAACCTCTAGAGAACTAGTGGCTCAGGATTTGTGGAGAGTTGATCTTCAGTTCTCTGGAGTGATTTTATCACTGGGAATGAGTTGTTCTTCAGAGGCGTATTAGATTATGGTTTGGATATGAAGTGCCCCCAAAAGTTCCTGTATTAATGGCAGGAACCTCTAACACCTTGAAGCAAAACAAATTTTTCCTTCTGTAAGTTGTTCTTATCAGGTATTCTGGTCACAGCAATACAAAGCTGACCAACACAAGGAAGAAAAGAACCACCTTATTTTTTCCATTTCCAACTTGGCCAAGCTCAGGCACAAGAATGCTTATGCAGGTTTCTGTTTTCCTATGTATAGATCATTCCTTTGAGGTGCCTAGGATGTTTCAAAAGAAACTATGGGATTCTACCAGCATGGGACAGAGTCAGCCTTAAGAGACTGAAGGGCCATGCTATGAAAATTTAGTTTTGGCCAGACATGATGGCACACATCTGTAATCCCAGTAATTCAGGAGGCTAAGGCAAGATGGCAAGGTCAAGGCCAGCCTCAGCAATTCAGTAAGACCCTGTCATAATATAAAAGATGTGGCTGGAGATATACCTCAGAGGTAGAGCACCTCTGGGTTCAATCCCTAGTACCACCAAAAAAAGAATTTGTTTCCAGGAAGGAAACTGTAAATATGTATCACATGCAGGCATCCTTTGTAATGAAACTTTTGAGAAGATCAGAGTTGAATTTTTAAAACATCTTTAAAAATGCAAAAGTATCATAAAGCTCAAAAGAAACCAAAACAGTTGTTTTATATAAATGTCCAGAAGTGCCCTAGGATTTGYCAAAGTCTAACTTTTGTTAAAAGGTTTGACTAGAGAGCCCAAGGCATTGATCCTTTGAGGCATAGTTAAGTACTGAGACCAACAGATCTTAAGTACCAATAAGTCAGCAAATGCTTGACRGGCTGAAGTAATTTATAAATCATGGAGGTTCTCATCAAGTCATCACCACCCTACTTAGTGGCAGAAGACAGAGGTAGAGCATTCTTCAGAGCAGACAGAAAATCTAGAGCTGGCCTTCCCAGTCCCTGAGAAGGAACATCTGAAGTCAAATGTTTGGGAATCAAACTAGGTTGGTTAATAAAAGACCCCAAAAGAAAGGAGAAGCTGCCTATGAGTATTGGAAATGCAACCCTGACTACTGATTGGTACCCACCTGGTCAAGAGTCTGACATCTAGGAAAAACTTGGGGCAAGGCCTTAGCTCAGTCATAGAGCACTGGCCTAGCATGTGCGAGGCCCCTGAGTTCAATCCCCAGCACCTACCACCACCACCACCCCCCCAAAAAAAAGCCAGTGTAATAGTGATTAAGTGTTAATTCATATTAAAGAGTGGAGTGACCTAATTTTGTTATTTATGTCTATTTTTACAAAGTAGTAACGGGTGAGAGAGCACTTCACATTCCTTCACAAGTGGAACAGGAGAATGACACCACCAGCTCACCTGGATTAGGGCCTTTCCACTCTGAACTATTCAAATGTTTTCTTGTCTTTCGGACTCATAAAAGCTCACTGTCCATGATGCTACAGGGGAGCACCTGGAATCTCTCTTGCTTGTAAGCACGACTGGATTCATGAATCTTTGCTGGAATAAACTACTAAATTTATTTTGTCTAAAATTTTTCTTTTAACATGTCTTTCCACAAAGTGGTATAGTGGCTGTTTATTTTTGCATTAAAAATTACGCCAAAACTTAGTGGCTTAAAACAAGCATCTCTTGGGGCTGGGGCTGTAGCTCAGTGGTAGAGCACTTGCCTAGCATGTGTGAGGCATTGGGTTCAATCCTCAGCACCACATAAAAATAAAGGTACTGTGTTCATCTACACCTAAAAAAATAAAATAAAATAAAAAAAGAAATTTTAAAAAAGCATTTCTTTGCTTACCATTTCTGTGGGTCAGGAATCTGGTGTGGCTCAGCTGAGATCTTCTGACTCAAAGGCATCCCTCTTAATGGTCAGTCAGGTGTTGGATGGAAAACAGTTTAAGTAGCTTCTGCCTTCCATATCCTGTGTCAGGATTGAGGAGCTGGCCAGGAGGAGGAGATGGGCCTCCTTGTCTCCTGATCCTAGAGCCTATACCTTTTGGCCTCGTGAGGTAACCTATAAARGTAGGAATTTGGAGTTTTCTGCAGAAACCAGAGTTGTGGAACCTCCAAAGCTATATGATGGTGTCATAAGATGAGCCAAGCAAACTGGTAGGAGGGACAGGGAGATGCTGTTTGCCTCTTTCCTCTACAGCCAGGAGAAGTGAACACTGACTTCATTGTTTCACACTACCTGTTTCCAGATTCTCTCCAGTGGAACTATACACAAGTAATATTCCTCTTCTTTGAGCCTACAATTCTGCAGGAAGTCACAACTAAGTCCTGAAGATAGGCAGTATACAGCTGAGCCAAAGACATCTATTCTTGCTGTGGGCCAGAGCCAGCATTGATCATGAACTTTCTTTTCTAAAGGTTAAATGCTAGTCTCCACTACTCCCAGGCAGCCCATTACAGATTTTAATCATATCATAAAATATTATTTATGTGTAAGTGTGTGTGTATATTTTGAGTCACAGGACTATACATCTTTGAAAAATGTTTTACCCACATCTTGTCATTAAGCACAGAGACTATTGCTTGTTTCTTACATTGGTATTGGAGGCCCCTGAAAAAAATGGAGACATAATGATTCTTATGTTAGCAGGGTTTTACCCTGTACTCTCCTGCAATAAACCACAGTAATAATTCCTAACCGTTTATATCTTCCAGATGTACAACTGTAAAATCATTCACAAAAGTGATTCCAAGTTAATAAACATATCACCTAAAATAAGTTGGCTAGCATATTTTATTCAATATTATTTAGTCTGGTAGCTAATTACAGTGCTCACTTGTCAATCAATAAGCACCTTCCAATTGGTGAGCATTTATTAAGCACCTACTACTACATTTTGTGCATTATGCTGTCTCCAATAATTTTAGCTCACTATAATAACAAGACAAAATGAGAGTTTTCCCTGAACAACTCACAAGTACAGAGGAACAAATTTCCAGGACCATAAGTGCTTTGGGGACAGTCTGTATTTTCTATTTGTCTCAACATGAGGCTTTGGGAAAGAAGGGAAGAAAATCTTAGAAATGTGTAAGAATTACACTCCTAATATGCCTTTCGTGGTAGTCAGGTTTTTTGTTGTTGTTTTCCTTTAACTGTAATCTGTAAACCTGAGAACCCAAACATACATGGAAAAATTCCTGTCATTGAAATCACTGTCATTCAAACTATGCTCTAAAATACTAATCTAACCCAGTGCCTCACATTGCTAGGCAAGTGCTCAGTGGAGGGCTTACTAATGAGATAGATGGTAACTGCAATCAATTCTTTTTCAATGTGTACAAAGGTAAATAACATAATGCACATATAAATAGCCCCCATCAGACCTGACGCTCCCACATATAAAATTATAAATCTAGATGCTTCGAGCAGGCAGATTAGATCAAACAGTAACAATACTAGATAGAATGAATAATGATCACACACGTACACATAGAACTGGACTCATTAGCAAGTAAAGGAAAATCCTAGCCCAACTGAAGGATTCAGAACTTAAAGAGAGGAAGAAATGGCAGGTGAGTTTATATCTTCAGGGTAGACTAAAGAGCACTGCAGGATAACTAAACTTGTTCAGAAAACCTGGTTGTAGCACCCTGAATAACARGATGCAGTTCAGGACAGCCTTGGCTGCTGTAATGAGGGGAAGATCCCAGGTCAGAGACTCAGAGCAGGACCTCTGAACTCTGTATTCTGCAGCAATCTCTGGCTGCTCCCTGCAATAAGCCTGCTAAGTATAGGTTGAAAACAAGAACCCACTATATACCACCTGCAAGAAATGCACATTAAACAGAAAGAGGAAGAGCCAAGTGAAAAGATTAAGTGAAAGCAGCTGGCACAGCCTCAAGATACAGAACACTGCCCAAGATGAYGACAGGGACGGCATTCCTGACTGGTTTCAATAACTCCAAAATAAGGGAAGTGAAAATCAACAGTATTGGTAAGGGGTAAATTCTTACACCAATGTAGTAAAAAGTAACCTGACAAAAATAATTGGTAAATTAATGGATGACCTGAACAAAACTGTCCAAAACCTTAACCTAATTGATATTTCTTAGATACTATGCTCTATAGCTGCATAACTTCACCCCCTTTTTTTTTTTCCAAATGTATATGGTATATTTACTATGAAAGTCATATCCTAGGTGATAGGCCAAGTCTCTCTACATTTAAAAGGTTTGAAATCATATAGAAAATGTTCTCTCAGAACTTCATAAAATATTTCAGAACATGGCAAATCAAACATAATTCTAAAATAATTCATAAATCAAAGAAGACATCCAAAATCAATTAGAAAATGTTTTGAACTGAGTGATGATAAAAATAACAGCTCAAAATTTATATCACACTGTTAACATAGTGCTTAAAAGGAAATTTATAGCTTTATTGTTCATAGAAAAGACATAAAATTGACCTAAATTTTCACTTTAAGAAACTATACAACAAACTGAACCCAAAGAAAGTTGAATGAAAACAAACAAAAATCAACAGAAGGGGCTGGGGTTGTAGCTCAGTGGTAGACCGCTCGTCTAGCATGGGCGAGGCCCTGGGTTCGAGCCGCAGCACCACATAAAAATAAATTAATTGGGGCTGGGGATGTGGCTCAAGCGGTAGCGCGCTCGCTTGGCATGCTCGGGGTGCTGGGTTCAATCCTCTACACCACATAAAAATAAGGAYGTTGTGTCCACCTAAAACTAAAAAGAAAATATTTTTTAAAAATTCTCTTTTAAAAAAAAAAAAGTAACTATGATATTTAAAGCAATCTTGGAGAAGACGAGCAAAGTTGGAGGACTCATACTGTATTTCAAGGCTAACTAGAAAGTTACTAATGAAGACGGAACGGTACTGGCACAAGGAGTCATCGGAACAGGAGAGCTCAGAAATGTTCAGTGATGACTTTGTCTCAGCACAGTCCCCAAATCAATCCCATGGAGAAAGTAAAGTCTTCTTAACAAATGGTGCTGGAATGATTAGTTAGCCATATTATATATATATTTATATATATATATATATATTTGTAGATGGACACAACACCCTTATTTTACATGTGGTGCTAAGGATCTAACCCAACACTTCTAGGCAAGTACTCTGCCACTGAGTCACAACCCCAGCCCAAGATAGCTGTATTAAAAAAAAAAAGAATTAGAACCTTGATCGCTACCACTTACCAAAGTATAAAAGCTAACACCAAAAACTTCTAGTAGAAAAATATATAATAACACCATATTCATAATTTAGGGTAGGCACAGGTTTCTTAAGGCCCAGAAAGCAGTAATAAAGTTAAAATTATCTTATCAAAAATCCCTCATTTTATCTCTTTTGATGAGATTAAAAATTATCTCATCAAAAATTTCCCACAAGCTGGGAAAAATACTTTGTTACACAAGATGTACCTGGGCATGGACTAATTGTCCAGGGTAAAGAACACCTGAGGGCTGGGGCTGCGACTAGGTAGAGCCCTAGCATGCGTGAGGCACTGGGATCGAKCCTCAGCACCACATAAAGTAAATAAAGACACTGTGTTATAGTCATACCTATAACTAAAAAATAGATATATTTTTTAAAAACCCACCTAGAACTCAAGGACAATGTATCCATAGGATGGAAGGTTATTCAGTGATTTTAAAAAAAGAAATGAGTATCAAATCATGCAACRGAATTAAGGAAACTTGGATGTATAGTATTAGGTGGAAGAAGCCAACATAAAAAGGCTGTGTGCAGGAGGACTCCAACAGCGACATTCTGGGAAAGGCAAACCTGGACTGGAGGGTAGGGAGAAGTCAACGGGTGGCTCAYAAAAACGAGGGCCTTTCAGGCAGTGAGACGTTCCATATGGAATGGTAATTGTAGAAACATGTTGTAATACATTTGTCAAAAACTAAACACACAACATGAACAGTGGACTCTGATGCCAACTTTATGACAAATGTGTCACTAAACAATCTTTTCATGGACAAAAAAATTATACAGATACTTCATAAAGGAAATATACATAAATGATATAAGCCTATGATAAATGCTTAGCATCATTGGTCATCAAGGAAATGCAAATTGAAACTTTACGATACAATCATCATTCACTTTCCAGATCTGCTAAAATCAATCAAGAGGACCAATCCATACCATCTCATGGCAGTGAGGACGCAGAGCTAGAACACTTCATTGCTGGTAGTACAAAATCAAACATTCACTTTGCAAAAAGATCTAGCAGTTTCTTATGAAAGCAAACACACTTGAGTCTACCCTATTGCCCAATGTTCCACTCAGGTATTTATCCAAGAGAAAGGAAAGGCCTTGTACATGAGTGTTCACAGCAACTTTATTCATAAAGACCAAAACTGGAAAGAGCCCAAGTATCTGTCAATAAAATGGAAAGATTTTATTATATCCCTACAAGGGAATACTGCTCTGCAATAAAAAGTACCAGATGAACTAACACCTACAACATTGGATGGATCATGAAAACACTGCTAAGTTCCTGGAAGCCTCATACAAATAAAAATTGTATGATACCATTTACATGAATTCCAGGATAAGGAAAACTATTCAAGATGGAAACAAATAAGAGCATTACTTGTCTTCAGGTGGTGAGGGTAGGGACTGACTGGGAACTTKCTGGAT